TAATCAACCGATTAGAGGAGGTGCACAGCACCAACCCTGGACTTTTTCAGTGCTAGCGATAGCCTTAGAGCAGTGTTTTTCAACCACTGTTCCGCGGCACACTAGTGTGCCGTGAGTGATCGTCAGGTGTGCCGTGGAAATTATCCAATTTCACCTATGGTACCGTATTTTCCGGACTATAAGCTGCTACTTTTTTCCTAAACTTTGAACCATGCGGATTGTAGCCCGGTGCAGCTTTTCTGTGTATTTTTCTTCAACCACCAGGGGGCTCTCTAGCAGGACGTGAATCATTAGAAGTCAAAATTGTAGATCAAAGAAGAACGCGTTAATTTTCATTTAGAACAACCACATGCTAGCAGCAGGCACGACGGAGAAATGTTTTCAAACTCATATGATGCAGCTTTTAAGTTGAGGGCTGTCGGGCTTCCACTACAGGAGGGAAATAGAGCCGCTGCACTTCAGCTCGGCGTGAACGAAACCATGGTTAGTAGTGGCTAGCGGCGTAATCATATATTTTTTTAACCACTAGATGGCAGTAGGTACAGAGCATTTTACATTAAAACAAGAGAATTAGTGAGCCATGAATGTTACAGGTAGCGGTGAGAGCACCGTATCTAGCAAGACTGTGACGACAGTGATGGAAAAGACAGTGAAGCTCAGCAGTAGTTGCAAAGAACCTGGGTCCATTTCCCACAACATGTCTGTGTGAAGTGAGCTTCTCAAGCCTGGCTACTATAAAAACTGAAACCAGAGAGAGACTGAGAGCTGTTGAGGAAGAGCTTTGTCTTCAATTTCTGCCAGGAAATCAGCTGTTTTCATCCAAATATGCACAGGTTTCACACTAAGTGGGTAAAATATACAGATATTGACATTTTGTACATGCAAATCTTCATATTGTAACAGTGAAATCTTTCCCAAATATTATTGCTTCTTTCAGAATAAGAATTATGTTCTGTATTCCAGCTTAAATAATGCTTGTGGATTAGTTTGTAAAACACTTTGAAGTTTTTTACAACTTCTTTAAATTTAACACCACAGTGTTGTGGCCCTGTTCAGGTGTATTTTTGAAGTGGACATGTTACGTGCAATTTGAAATAAGAAATGTAAAATGTGATAAAGATACATTTTTGTGTTTATTTGATTCCTATTCAAGACACTTTGATAAGAATGACTATATATGTAATATAGGTAACTACAGAGTATCTTTGTTTACATTTTTGGTTGGTGGTGTGCCTCGTGATTTTTTCAATGAAAATAATGTACCTTGGCTCAAAAAAGGTTGAAAAACACTGTTCTAGAGGAATGCATATTCTTGGAAGAGCTTTTGTAAGCTGTGTAGATGACTCACTTTGTGGGGGTAAGGAAAACAAAACAGATGGTTTGGGTTACTGATCAGTAAACTGCAAGAGGTCTTCAAAGACTTCCAGTTCTGGGGATAAACATGTTGGGGAAAAAAAGCATCAATTTGTTTCTAAACTAAATATACTTAGTCTAGTGAAGGGTTGTCCTGAACGTAGAGCACCCCAAGCTCCAGCAGGAGGTTGGGGATAAGACACTATTAAAATATTTATATCCATCAAAGTTCTTTGCTTTGAATAGTTTTAACGTATTATATAAGTTAAAGAGAGAATTTTCTTTATTCTCAGATGGATTAAAAAATACCTCTACCAAAACATTTTCCTTTCATGTTCATTGTTTTGTATGAATGCTGTCTGCTGAAGAATAAAAATATCTGATTTAGTCAAAATTTTGCAGAGTGATGAAATGGTATTAATATATTTACAAAAAGACGTTAAATAATATTACAAAATAGGTTCTAAAGAATTTTATTTAAAATAAAACATTTCATTTCTGCTGCTAAATTGATATATCTTTTCAGTCTCTCCACTTTTTCACAATTCTGCAATCATAAAATTCACCCAAAATCATCAAATATATGTATTTTTTCAACACTAACGCATTATTGTAAGTGTATTGCAATTTCCTTACTAAAGTGGTAGCCTGGTAAAAACACACCCTTGTTCTAGGTTTTGCTTCGTCCAGAGGCTCTGGAACTTTGTCTGTTGACAAACCATTGCTTCCTGGAGGCACGTTGAGGTTTTAAATGTTACCCAGTTGCTAACGTTCGTCTGTGATATATGTAATGCATCTGTTCAACACTATAAAGCTTAATGGAAATTGGCTGCACTGTAAAAAAAATAATAATTCTCTACTGCAAAGAGAGAAGAGCTGCACCGACTGAGGCGGTTGATAATTATAATTCAGTATTTGGAAGTGTGGCCAATACAGCCTGAACAGCTTCGCTCACTTTTTCTGCTGCCATTGCTAAAAGTACAGACAAACTTCCAAAACAACGCACAAAATCAACATCATTGTTCACAACTTCTCCTGTTTGCTGATTGGCCAGTTAAAAGTCTGCCAATAAAATCTACTTCAATGGGTGAAATTCCAGATGGAGTTCTAAAGTGAGACTCCAATCGAACAGAATTCCATAAAAGGCAATGGCCAAGCTACAAAATTGGTCTTAAACACTGGGCTTAACACTCCCACCTGCAGGTGGCACTCTTTGTTACTTCTACTACACTGCTGCCTCAACCTTACTGGATTGAAAGAGATCAAAACTATATCAAATTAGTGAATAACAAAAAGTCACATTTACCGTCTCTCATCATAGGCACAAAAGATCCACAAAAGCTGTTTTCCCCTTTTCTCCATGAGAGTGGGGGAAATTATTTTTCACACATCTCTCAATATTCCTTGCAAATATTTCTTAACCCTTGTATGTAGAAATGGATCCAACCTACCCCACATACGTAAAACTTGTATCATTTGCCATAGTCCTCTACGTTTGCCTCAGTCCTCGCACGCACAAGGGTTAAGTTGCACCATGAAAATCAGTTATTTTGATTGCAAATAAATAAATAAATAAATAAATAAATAAATAAATAAAAATTTAAAAAAACAATTGCGTAATCCTGGGTAGGACTGACTATTAGATGTTAGATTATTTATTTAGTTTTATTTTGTTTATAACACATGGACCAAAGTACAAATACAGTATAAAAACATTTAGTAGTAGTTCTCATGTGCCTGTGCTTTAGGAACACATGTAAGTCCAGAGCTATTTTTGGGCCAAGCAATGTTTTCCCTCCACCAGCAGCTTTATGGTACACCATGTTAAGGTCTAAAGGTTTAAAACCAACTTTCCATCCAGAAAGAATTCCAACCCTGCTTTTCATTTTCAGTCACTGGGTTTCTGGGCGCTGGAAATATTTAGAAACATGACATCAGCCTATGATTTTAGGTCAAGCAAGCAAACACATGAGAGTCCAAGAGAGTTTCTTTATCTGTGTCTGTGAAAGAAGTTTTTAACTGACCACACAGGACTGTAACCCTGTTCACATGCAGCAAAAATGAGTAGAATTAAATCTGCAGACAATTACCTTCAGCTTTAATCTTTAATTGAATTCAAAGCATGCTTGTTTTATTGGTTAAATCAAATCAGCAAGCATGGATGACAAACTAAAACAAAATCTTTTTTTTTGCACACTTTAATTATCCAAACAGAAAACAAATCAAACAGCTCAGACATAATGTAGTTTGTGAAATATGATTAATAAAAACTGGCACGATACAACAGTGTGAATCAGACTACATAGTGAATGGGCCACTGAGTACAATACAGTAAGTGCACATGAATTAGAACCTGGTGTCAAGGCAGATTTAACTTATTTTTTCATGAAGGCAGTTATTTGTTGTTTTGTTGTTGTTGTTTTTTTATCATCTTATTGCACACCACAAAACAAAACAAAAATAAAACATCCAACATTCACCTGTTCAAACTCATACATGAAGGGAAACAGACAAGGTTCTAAGACTAGTTAGCACTAAAGATGAGAGAACTCAGAACTAAGGATGGGATGGAGAGTTTTGGGAACTGTGAGGTCACTCATAGGCATTACTTACTGTAATCTGTGACGGTCTTTGGATTGGGGTAGATGTGGGCTTAATCATGATGCTACTTGTGATTTTACTGATGCCTTTGGCAGCGGGAGTGCTGCAGTTTGCAATAATCTGAGTCCTTTGCTCCTGGAGTCCAGGTACTTGTGAAGGGGTGCTGACAGCTTGAATGAACGGATTTCCTAAGTGAATGTGGATTTTGTTATCCTCCGTGGTGACGACGTTTGACCCCGAGCTGTTGGACCTCTGCACCTGCCAGCTGCTTTGCCTTTCCGGGGTGACACGGAAGACGGCGTGCCCACCAATGACTTCCACAGGCTCTGCGGAAAGGGAGTGATCCTGCGCTCCTGTTGTCACTGATACAATTTGTATTGGCGACATAGCTCGGTCTGGTGTTACAGAACCACATGAGTCTGGGGTCATGGCTCTGGAGTAAGTAGTCATAGTGAAAGGTGATAGGGCCCTATCTGGGGTGCACGGTTCATCTGAAATGGAGGAACACTTAGATTTAGTTGTCGGAGAAATGGATTTTGTAGTAGGGGAAATTGAGGCATTCTGAATGATTGTAATTCTCTGCTTCGGGGGTCCTCCACTTGTGGGTATGACGGCGGTGCTGGTGAATGACTGAGGGGTTTCTGTGTTGGGACTGGTTATCTCTAGTGTTGCCATGTTGTGTCCGTGGTCAGGAGTGACTTTTATATGCAGTGGCTGCCCAGGACAGTGGGTCAACATCACATCTCCAGTCTGGATGTGGTTGCCGTTATGCTGTGGTTGCATTTTGCCGTTCACCTGATGGACGTCTTTGGTTTTGAGGAATGGGCCTCTTGCTCGCCTCAGGTTGTTGTTTAGATTGTTGACATTGTTCATAAGTGAAGGGGTATATTTGGTGAGCTGTAGTTCATTGCTGTAATTTGCGCCATCATCAGTCTCGCTTTCGTCATACAGCTTCCCGTTGACCACCGCTCTTTCTAGCTGTACCATAGTCTTGCTGTTAGGAGACATGAGGTCAAGCGGCTCGGTCTGAACCTCCTTGGTCAACACATGAAGGTCTGAAAACCGCCTTCCATTCATGCCTGGGCGAAGACTTTTGCTGAAGCGTCGGTATCTCTCCAGCTCTCGAGTTAGCGTCTCCATTTCTCGGGCCAGTTCTTTGTTTCTCACCTCCTGCTGGGTCAGTTTTCTCTGCAGAGTGGAGTGGTCGGTTTTCATTCGACAGATAGACTCCTCTGTTCCCATGTATTCATGAATTTTCTCCTTCAGAGCTGTCACCTCTCTGGACAGATGACTAGACTTTGCTTCCTCTTCCTTCAAGCGTTTATAAAGGACATGCTCTTGGTTACACTCCTTCTTTTCATTCAGTTGGTACATTGTAAGCTCTTTTCTGGATACTTCCAGTTCCTCCATCAAGGCTTTGGCTCTTTCTTGTTCATTGACAAACCTTTTCTCCAGTGTTTCATACTCTGGTGTTTTTAATGAGTCTTCCTCTGTCACTTTCATATCCTTTAGTTTACGTCTTAGATGTTCAACCTCCTGCGTCAAATCTTTGACTTTGTTGTCTTCTTGCTGGAAACGATTTGCCAGAGGTGTCTTGAGTTGCTCTTCTTTCGCTTTGCTTCTCAGGTATTCCCTCTCAATTGTCTCAAGTGACTGCAGCCGTTTCTTCATCATATTGACTTTAGATTCCAGATCTTTATTCCTCTCTTCCTCAGTTCTTAGCTTGGCCTTCAAGTCATCCCTCTCCTTTGTTGCAAAGCACATTTTCTCCTCCAGCTCTGCCTTTGACCTCAATGCCTTCTTGCTCTCCTCTATCAGCTTCTCTGTGACTGATGTAACTTTGTTCTGCTCAGCCTGAAGCTTGCCTGTGCTGTTTTGTACCTTGTTCTCCATCTGTTTCAGCTTATCGGCCATTGCTTTCCTCTCATCCACCAGCATAACCGTCAGAGTCTTTAACTTGGTCAAATCTTCCTTCAGTGTCTGCTCTGTCTTGACCACCTTGCCTTCAGCGGCCTCCAGTTCTTTGACTCTGACTTTCAAAGCTTCCAACTCACTGTTCAGAACCTTTGACACTGTCCTCTCCTTCTCCAAGTTACTTTTGAGTGAGATGCATTCTTGTTTGCTTTTACTGAAAGCATCCTCCAGTTTTTCCAAGTCTGTAATTCTGTGGTTCAGTTGATCAACTTCGGCTTTCAAGCACCAGCTCTGTTTGGTCTCTTTCTCCAGTTTCTTATTGAGGTCTCTGCACTGGTCCTCCATCCTGATCAGCTCTTCATCCTTCCCCTCCATCTCAAGCACTCTTTTTTGTAACTCTTCAAGCTCTGACATGAGGCTTGAGTTTCCACACTCGCCTCGGCTAATTTTGTCCCTCAGCTCCTGCAGTTCCTCCTCGGCCCTTCTCAGGGTCTTATTGGTCTCCCCCAGCTCATCCAGCTGCCGGCTGAGTGCCGACAACTTCTGGCGCAGATGCCTGTTTTGGGCATCCTCGCTGGTCAGTTTGGCAGTCATGGCTTCCTGATCTTGATGGTGTCGACTTGCCTGCTCAAGCAGCTCAGCCTCTAAGCGAAAGACCTTCTGCTCCTCTTCCTGCAGACGAGCATTAGCCGAGCTCAGCTTATCCTGAGCTTGAGAGAATCCGGTCCTGAGATCTTGAACCTTGACTGATTTCTGATTAAGCTGTTCAGTGAGATGCTGCTGTTCATCCACAACCATCAACGTGAAAGACTTGAGTTTAGTCAGCTCTTCCTTTAGACTTTCTATCTTTTTGTTGTTTTCTTGGTCTTTTCGTTCTTGGTATACCTTTTCCTGATTAATTAACAGCTTTAACCTGTGAAAACAGAAAACATTTGATTTAAAGAAACTGATTTCAGAATGAGCTGTTTGCAGCCTATATGTGTTTTACTTCACTTAGATAGAAATCAAAATATATATTTATAGAAACAATTTATCAACTGGACATTTGAGTATGGACAAAATACCCGCAAATAGAGATCAACTGGACCCAAATGTCCAGTTGATAAAATCTATCAATAAAATGTTGGTAAATTCGATGTATAATTTGGGCCACATCTCTGATAACTGATACACTAACACTGTTATTTTCTCATCATGGCTGTGGAGGAGTAAAGTCTTTATGTCACAGAAAATTTAACACATCATAAAACAGCTGAATTTTGGGGGTCATGGATATGTGTGGTTATTATTTTCTCCCTTGTTGCCAACTACATCTCATGAACAGAAAAGCGGATTCAACTATAGGATGTTTGAGCAGCTCAAGATATGCTGCCATGATCAAAACAGCAAATTTTTGCTTTTTCCATTAAATTTGAAGCAAATAGTAGAAGTCAAATGTACTTGTCAATAGTAGAAGTCAAATGTACTTGATTAGCCTGATCATGTTCAACGTGAATACCTCTGAAGAAGCAGGAGTATTCCTCAGAAAATACAAGATGTGAAGTATTTTAGGGGATAAAGAGGAAATTCATCATTCTCAAGTTAGAGATTTTTCAATTTTAAACATTTAGGACAGTTTCTAATCTTCCTAGGAGTCAACAATAAAGGATGTTCACCTCAAATGTTCAAAGTAATGAAACAAATAGCTCCCTCTCAGAATTTCCAGGCTTCAGCCGTAATGTTCAATGCCAAATTTAAGAAAAAACACAGCAAATCATTGAAATGGCTTAAAAAAGTAGGTTGCCAACAACACAGTTGAATGAATCCTACAACCACCAACAGGACAATGATCCCAACAGAATAAATCAAGAACCTGCAATGCCCCAATCAAAGTCCATACTCTATATTGGAACCTTTGCAAACCCCATGGAACTAAGGAAATATTGTGGATGTGATAAAGCCGTAAAGTGATTACTAGCAGTTCCTGCTGATGGAGGTTCCACCAGCTGCTAAATCACAGGACGTAGTTCTTTCCATGACAGCAGCAGCGTAAGGGCAGCAAGGCTTGGTGTAAAAATTAGACATTCTCCAGCATGGAGTGTTGTGTTGAAAACACAACATGAGCAAGTTAATTTTGACACTTTAGCTCACCAAGGTATAGGTTACCGATTTCAGTTCTTTAGGAAGAGAATTGTAATTTTTAATGGCTAATTTGACCAGATGGTTCTGTGTTAGAGCTCTGTGTGTTACACATGATGCAGCTTCGATGTGTAAGCCGGTCAGGGCATCTGCCACTGAGCACATTCATCCCCCAGGGGGAAGCAGCTGCCAGGCATTTCCACACAGACAGCCCTCTGGCATGGAACAATCCCATAATTGAGGGGTTCCTCTTGCACCGGCCCCTCACCCTTTACCGCTGCTGCCTGCCCTCCCTGTTTCTTCTCTTTCTATTTTTTCCCCTTTGCAATTAAAGGAATTCCCCCCTGCTCCACAGTTTAAACAGAAACCTCCTCAGAGAAGCTCAGTGATATATGATGTCAGGGCCGTGGGTGCAGTGTCATGTCGCTCACTGACGGCTGCCAAACGGGGAAATAAGAACTGGATATTCAAAAACAGCGAGTAAAATATTATATTGTAATGTTTACTGCCAAAACGGAACTCATTTGTGTAACTAATGTGGGGTTTATGTTTAATTTGTCGCCATTTAAAAATACTTTTACTCTTCCAAGCTTCATTTTTCAATAGTGTGATGTTTGGTGTATTTCAGCCCAATAATGCCAAATGTATCAAAGTCAGAACTTTCTTCAAAAACCATGAGTTGTTCAAAAACTTGTTTAAAAATGGCTACAATCACTTTCTGTAACACAGATCAGGGCCAGTCTAAGGCATAAGCAAACTAAGCAGTGAGCTTATTATTATTATTATTATTATTATTTTTATTATTATTATTATTAGTAGTAGTAGTAGTAGTAGTAGTAATAATTTCTATGTAATTATAATATCAAAACACACAATTTCACTATGAAGTGATTTGTTTTTACAATAATATATATTTGATAATGTATGTAGAAATCATTATTTTATTGACAAAAAGAAAAAAAAAAAAGATCTTTGGCCTGGTGGCCGCGGTAGGTACCGCACGCTTCGCCGGTATCATGAGCTGCTGTGCAATGTGCAGAGCACATTCAAACGTCCAAAGTTCCGGTCAGAAGTCAAATAAGCAAAACAATGTCTTAAAAAAGGACTTATTCTTCAGGGAGGGAGAAAAGAAAGAGGAAGAACAGAAAAAAGCCAAGATAAAGGTTTGTTTTAATGTGCCTTGGTAATGTAATGTAAAAAATTTGTAAAGCTGGTAATAGAAAATTAGCTTGAACTGTTCAACAGCCAAACATTTATGCTAGGGTCTTTGTGTTTGTGTGAAACTGAGTTTAAACTTTAAATTAGTTTATTCTCATGGTTGGCTCTGTATATTTCTGAGGTATTTTTTTTGGCTTTAAAACACCGTATTTGATAACGTTTGATAACAATAATTAAAACTTCTCAATAGGGCTGAAACAATTCCTCGAGTGATTCGAGTACCTCGATTATTAAAATTCCTCGAGGAAAATTTACCTGCCTCAAAGCAACGTTAATTTATATTTTATTATTTAGCACAGGAACACGGCTGGAACAAAAAATAACTTTTTTTTGGATAAAAAAAAGTTATTTTTTTATCCAATTACTTGAGCTCTGACTTCCTCAGTTGTTAACGAAAGCTAAGTGTTAGCGGCATAACGTCCAATCTTCAAGTTCGACCCATGGGGATTTTATTGATTGATGATAATGCCCAGGTTATCATCGTTTTTGGGGGACCTATAAGCATCCTTTAAATGATTGGAGCGATGCCTGGAGTTTGGCAGCCTTTCTCCTCTGGGCACTGTGGGTTCAAAGTGAATGTCGGGAAGAGCACTGCAGGAGTATTTATACAGGTAAGCAGATAGACTGAACACGGTGGGCAGCTGAGCAGTTGATGCTTACAGTGTAGTGTAGCTTTATGGATGAACTGCACAATAAATTTTAAATCATCGTGGCAATACATCGCTGGTAGATGAGTTTCTGAGTGTGATGAATGAAGGTGCCATAAATATCCCGTATTGCTCCCCCCCATTCTTACTTTACTTTGTCCCCTGGTCTATCGGTCCCCGGACTTACATTCGTCTGCCCCCTGGTCTATTTCCTCCCCTCTACCCCCATCTTACATTTGTTTGTTCACCTGCCCCCAACCCCCACAACCCCAAACCCACTCCAAGCAACATTCCCCGTATTCTCAAACCCAAAGCTTGACAAGTATGGGGCAAGGTGAGAGTTCATCTGTTAAACTCACTGAAAATGAACACATAAACTAAAAGCTGGATTTTAGACATTTTTTATAAGTGTATTTGTGAACCTGGCTCTTTATTATTAACTTGAATATAATTTCAGATTTTTGCATAACTTTTCTTCAGGTTAACTTAGAAAGTGAGCTATTATTGTTATAGGTTAATTTTCTAAACTACAAAAAAGTAACTCTTAGGGAAGCTCAAATATGAAAAATTGGACTGATATTGATATCCGATAGTAACAGTGGTGTTATGGAAGATTTACCAATATTTTATTTTGTAATTTTTTTATCCAATTACTTGATTAATTGCAATAATCAATAGATTACTCGACTACTAAAATATTCGTTTACAACAGCCCTACTTCTCAATGTTTGACATTGTCTAGCAAAATGTTTTTACGTCAGGCTACATAGCTGCTACATGGATGAGCTGTAGTTGGGGATATGCTGTTTGCTGCTGAGCATAATAATTTTGTGGGTAAAACAAACATTATTTTTACAACAACGTCGAAATTATGTGAAACTTCTGTTAAAATCATTTGAAGGCACAGAATCAGTCCCGTGCCAATCCACATTCCAAGGCAGAAAGACTCACCTGGTATAAATGACATTTTTAGTAATTGGAGTAACTCTTCAGAGAAATTTATTTAATCAAAGAATGTCATGAATATGTGTCGGCAATCGGCTGCACCGATTGCAGTTTTCTGGCCAATTACCGATCTTTAAAAAGCCTGACCTGCCGATTTTGATTTTGGCCAATGCCAATTTTTTTTTTTGTCTGAAATGTCACTAAACATACCAAGAAAGTCACTGAGTTGGCAACAGTGGGGTGCAGACCTGACCTGGTGGGCCAGTCTGTCAGTCACACCTCTCACTGTAGAGCAGAAGAGGACAGAGAATGATTTTTAAACCTTTCCTGATGAAGATAAAATTAGGGGATAACATGGGCTTCAAGTGTAAATATCAGCAGATTACGATCCCCCAAAATTAAGGAAATCGGTGCCCAGAAATCAACTAGTCGATAAATCAGTTGGCCAATAAATGTATCCTATATTATACATGTGTGGAATTTCATTTGTATATCCAATGCCCGTTACACATATACATAATGTAAACAGCACTGCCAGAGATGCAATAAGTTTATAGCTGGTGTGTGAATGATCTAATGATCAGACTGCTGATTGCAGCCAGTCCACATTGTTAACAAAACTAGAGGGCCCCAAAACCAATTTTGCTTAGAGCCCCATGGAGGCTTGGGCCGGCCCTGACTCAGATTCTTCATTTGACATGAAATATAACAAAACATCTAACTTTTTTAAAATGAGTGTCAAAAAATTATTAAATATTTTATAGAAAAACTGGTGAAAATGTGTTAGTTCTGGTATTTTAGGCACTACTTTATGGACTGGTACAAAGGCAGTTTTTTTGTGTGTATATATATATATATATATATA